AATTTCTCCATCTCCAAATAACTTTTAATTGATAAATACACTGAATATAACATGTTTTGAGCTCTATCAAACTGTTTTATTGAAGACAGGGAGCGACATCAGGGAAGCCTGAAATCATTTTTTTAAATAGTCACTTCTCTGAGTGCAGTACAGTGAAAAATATAAAAAAAAAACTCTGTTAGTTTCTTTCACCATGTCATGACTTAATCTGTGACCCTCTCACTCCCATGTTATGAACGTCGCAGCATGAAGTGCGTTAGCTGTGAATGAGAGCTTTCAGGTTTGTCCCTGCTCGTTATCTCTACCATCTCCCCTCTCTCCGAGCTCCTGGAAAGACATACAGTCGACATATTGTTCACTGATGTACGTATGTTTGGCCCATTTCATAGATTTAAAATGTATGAAATTGCCCTACATAAATAATCTGTGGAAATATATGTCAGATGTCACAGATGTCACTCCAGAAGTGTGTGTCTTAAACTATGGGTGGAGCCCTAAGGTGGGCTGCAGGCCTGTTTCTAATAGGAGCCTAAATCAATGTGACCATGACTATTTCTTATGTCTGGTACATCAAGAAAAACTGAGGTGACACATATTGGGCATTAAAGGGGAGCACTGTGAAAAAAAAAAAAAAAATCCAGATCTTAGCCATTAGAAAGAGTTTGTTGTTACTCATAGAAGAGTTTAGAAGCAAACATGTTGAGAAGATTGTTGAAAGAAATGTTTTCATTTTGATTTGCCGTGAGACAACCAACAAGCAGAAAAACTGATCCTGATTATGTGAGTCAACATGTTTAACAAAGCCATGCGGTGGAAACATCTGGGGGAGCCAGTGCGGCAGAACCGAGAGTTAATACAGTGCAGAAGAATGCAATAAAAGTCCACTGCATCAGCATTTTTTTTTACAATTATCATGTGTGTTATGTTTTGAAGGAAAATATGGAAGTATGGGAGTTGGGAAGTAAATGTGGAAGTAGTTTTGCTGAATGCAGTGAGTCACTGACGCAGTCTCAAAGTATCAGAAACGTCCTCACTAACCGAGAAGTAAAAACCAGAGTGTGGAGCATAACTCTTCAGGATGCACATTTTCTAACCTTCTGGTTGATAGAAAGAATTTGTCAGGTCGTATAAAACACATTGGAAACCCATCAGTTCGTTTTATTGTCAGGACATAAAACATGAAACATGAAACATGTTTGATGAGCCAACATAAATTCAAATGTTTCATGAAACCCAGACTGCCACTAAGGTTGTTCAAAGTTTTCTGCATAGAAAATAAATCCACCTCTTTCATGATGTTATGAACTCAGGGTCATTCAAGTTCATGTCACATTTGCGATGTGTTGTATTATTTTATCAACCTAGTTAAACTGTTTTTGTTTCTCTCATCAATTTATATTCACATTTTTAGTTTTAATATTTTTTCTGTGAAGCTCTTAAATACAAAAAGTCGTGCAGGCTTATAGACTGCCTGGTCTTAGAGAAACACACAATTAGCCACTATGCTAAGCTAGCAGCTTCAGGCTCACAAAATACACACTCGCAATGTGAATCAAAACAATAAACGTGTACCAAAACAACAATGACATTACTAAGATGGAAGTCATGTTTAAATATAGTTGAACCTTCTTATTGTTTGCCTGTCTATTAAAACTCCAGCTTTGATTTATAAATGATGGGGTAAAATATTCACTCCAAAGGAGACTGGACAATAGAGTTACTGCATATCATATATAATAATAAACTTATTATGTAGCCCTTTTCTTAACAAGGTTACAAAGTGCAGGAGATTGAAGGAGGAGGAGTAGATAAAAGGATGAAATGAAGAGTTCATGACAGTGTTCCAACGAAAGAAAGTTTTCCAAGAGGAATTAAAAGAGGCTGAAGGTTTGGCTTGTCTTATTTGATTGGCAGAGAGTTCAACAGTCGTGGGGGTCTGAGTGAAAAGGCCTGGTCACATTTAGTTACAAGCCTGGATTTAGTCACAACCAGCAGAGCTGCATCCACCCAACATTGCCGGGAATATGTTTGTTTGCAAGCCAGAAAGTTTAAGGCTTTAAAAGTGATTAATAATATCTTAAAAAACAATATGATAAAAGGCAAGCAGCTCATGTGTAAGCTGGTGAGAACAGGACTGATGTGCTGTTATTTGTTGGAGCCCATGGTAGAAATTCTTGCAGTGGCGTTCTGAACCATTTGGAGTCTGTGGAGGCAGCTCTGACTGACACCTGTTAAAAGTGCATTACAATAAACTGAGAAAAAAACTGTCTCACAGCTTATATAGCAGCCAAAAAGGTGAGATTGAAAGGAAAATAACTTCTGAATTTTCAGATTAAAACTTTCTTTTTTTTTTTGCCTTTTTCCAACTGCAATAAAAATGATTGGAGAAAACATTTTGAAACACAAATTTAGTTTACTTGCAATAAAACTTTTATTATTATTTTAAAATATTCTCCTCTAGTATTGACATGTTTGAGTGCAGTGTGAACTGTTTCACTGTCAAACGTATTCTGTCTGTTTGATTGCATTGTAAAGAAACAAAAATGGTTTTACTTCAGGATCAGAGACATCCAGCAATGCATGATGAATGGTGTGTGTATATATGTGTGTGTGTGTGTGTGTGTGTGTGTGTGTGTGTGTGTGTGTGGGGGGGGGTGTGCTTAACATTGTCTGTCAGACTTTTCGCTCTCTTTTTATGAAAGAAAGCAGAGAATGATTTATTGCTTGATACCAGCCATTAGCAGAATGAGAGAGTAACAAAGAGGGGCAGTTGTCACAAATCACCTGGAATATTTCAGCCTTATACTTCACGTCGGCTGCCAAAGGCTACATCATACATGAGGCCTAACTTCAGGAAAAACGCAGACCTTTTAAAACATCATTTTCTTTTCCTAAGTTCTGCCTCTTTCCGAGCAATCAATCATTTTTAATCAAAGATGTCTGAATTTCATTTCTGTTTGTAATTCCATGACTGCGGTGCACCGGCAGCCTGCAGGATTGGACCCCCACCCCCCCACAAAAAAAAAAAGAAAAGAAGTATGAAACATGTTCTTGTTAAGGTGCTGGTGAGAAAAATGGTCTTCATGTGAAACCCTTGAAGCAGGCAATATGCTTTTAATTCAGCCTTCATCCTTTTTTTAAACACAGACTTTCAATAAACATGTCGTAGAATAGACCCTCTCAGAAAAGTGTGCGGAAACGTGCAGTTGTTCCAGACTGGAGCAGAGGGGTTCCATCTATTATTTTTTTTAGAGTCCCGGCTGTAAAATGGAAAGTCGATGTGAAGAATTCATGGTAAAGAAAAATGTTTGTGTTTCTATGAGACTTTGATCCCATAAAAAATGCTCTTCTTTATTTGAATGGAGATGTTATGGAAAATGATCAAACATTGTAGGAGCACAGAAAAAAAAACTTTACCATAGTTACATGTTATTCCACTCTCTTTTTGTTTGTTTATTTTTGCATATATTCTTTTTCTCAAGCACATACTTTTTTTGAAACTCTTTGAACACACACTTGGTCCCCAGAAACACCATGAAGCCTTTGGGGACATGTCAGAATTAATGGTTTACCTCCTATTACAATTTGCATGTGTATGCGTACTTGTGTGTGTGTGTGTGTGTGTGTGTGTGTGTGTGTGTGTGTGTGTGTCCCTTTGAAGTTGTCGGAGTCTGCCCACCCTTCTGCAGCTCCTCATTGTGCCGGACAGCTCCATTTGTCCCACCTTAATCCCCCTGACATAAACTCACATAAATCACACTGAGTTGTTTCTAAACGTGGGCAGGCTGGAATACTGGACCTCTGTCTGCCTGTTGCACGCTGATTTCAGCTTGAAGAGCTGCTGGGTGTTCATTGAACTGACCACCTGTATTGATAATGATCTCAGTTAAAAGTGAAGATAAATGCAGGTTTCCTTTTGCACGGAAACAGCTCATTATTTTCACACAGGAGCTCTGGAATCAACGATAGAAATGCATAAATTGAGTAGATGTTTTTTTTTTTATTAACCAGAGAACGACAAAGTAAAAGGTAGCATGCATACACAGTTTGTAAGTTTTAAAAAAACTCAATCAATCTAGATTCTTTAGGTGCATTATCCCCTGCAGGGCGGCTAAGCAGACACATACACATTCATTTACCAAGAGAACTAGTTTTAAAAGAGTTCTAATTCCCTGTCACTAGACCAGATCAAATGTTGACATTTCACACTTCAGTAGGAGCCTCTCAGTCTTTTTCCATGACTACATAAGAACCTGGGACAGAGTTTTTAGTTCTAGAGATGGGGCAGCATCACGGCACTCATAGTGCATTTAGGCCGACCCCTCTCTATTGGATGGCTCAGGGCCAGATTAAAGTGCCGGGGCTCATTGTTTACACAGCTCTGTGGTGCCATGGCTGAGCAGGCCCAAACAATGAGCCCCTGCTCCCCCTTGTCAGAGTGAGGGGAAGAATGGAGACCTCTTGACATGGCAACCTGATTCTCAATGCCCCTCACTTTACGTGGTGGAGAGGGTCAGAGAGAGAGAGAAAGAAAAGAGGGGAGAGGAGGGCAGGTTAGAGATAAGGAAGGAGGAGAATGGAGGAATGAAAATGCAAAGAAAAGAGAGGAGAGGAGGCAGATACGAGGGAGGGTGGAGTTCAATCAAGGAAAGACAAAGATCAGTAAAGGACGGCCTACAAAAAGAGGAAAAGGAGAGGAATGATGAATGGAAAAGGCAGCAGGTGAAAAAGAAGACAAATGAGAAAGACGTATGAAAGAGGAGAAGATTATTTAAATAAGGAGAAATGTAGCATACAGCATGTACCCACTCTGATATTTGACATAGATTTATTTTTGAATCTTTAGGTTCAACATTTGATTTAATGACAGAACTAACGTCATAACCCGTCTCATGCAGCTTTGCATGAACTCTTAAAATGAGGGCATCAGTTTGGGTTTAAGTTCCTGTCCCTTTAAGAATCAATGGGCTTTAATTTTCTTTGCCTTTTTTCTTTTGCAGGTCACTTTCTTGGCAACAATACAGTCATTGATGTGCTCCGCCGCGAGGGATACGAGGTGGAGCACACCCCTGCTGGGGTACCAATAAACAGGTAAGTTTATTGGTCAAATGCCCTTAAACACACACACGCACACACACACGGACAAGCACATTGTTATGTCATCCATTACCTTTTTTCTGTCCATGAGTTTAACTGCAGGTTCCTGTTTGCTAAATTTGTCTCAAAAAAGGAAAAAGCTTTAATTACACAAATGACTGGAAAGGGTTCAAGCATTTGTTCCTTCAAGAACCCAACTTTATTCGACCTAACCCTAACCCTTAAAGACTTTTTTTTTATTCAAAGCATATTAGATTAGTTAAAGTAAATAGGGGTAACAATGTCAGAGGCAAGTTTCATGGACTGAAGTTTTCAGTGTGAGAGACTTTTTCATCTTCATGTGATCATATTTTTGTGACACACTGCCGAGAAAAAGACAAGCACAGAGATTGTGGGTAGAGAGCTGTGCAAAAACACATACATTTCCTCGCCCTTTTTCACGACTCTGCCTGAAAACGCGAGTGTATAAAGTCAAAGGCCCATATTTTATCACTTAGATGGAGTGTAAGGTTTCCATCTCGGCCACATTGTGCTGGGCAACAGCCGCCTCATGGCCCTGACAGGAGTATATATTTCTCTCAACCTTTTCGTCGACTGGATTTGAAGTAGGAAATCATTTTCCAAGTAAGCATAACTCCATAGTCGGCCTGTGTTCATTTACAGACCTAAAACAGATGTTCGGGTTCTGCTCGAGCCCAGACGAGCAATGTGTTGTCTGCAAATAATCAAAACCGGACACAGAAGCTGTCCGATGAGTGACTCTCCTCTTTAGAGTCCTTAGTCTGTTCAAGGGTCTATAAACACAAGTGATAGTTTATCGCCCTTTTTTGAAGTACTGTATGTCGCGGTTTTATTTAAGAACCAGAATGATTCACTTCTTTGTTATGAACTGGCATTAGCAGTTAGCACACAGTGTGGAAGTTGGTGATCAAATAAAATGAAATAAACAGATTCAGATCACAGTGATTCTTTTAGGGGACAAAGGGAACTTTGATGACTTTAAACTAAATGATTAACATTATTTCCCTCATATTTGAAACTCTAAATATTTTTTAGAGTCAACTTTGCTTTTATTTCTCTTTTGTTTTAACCATTGGTTGAATGATAGTTAGACTGAGCAGTGAAGCTGAACTTGAGCTTTATGAAGTCAAACCCCATTGTGTTTAGAAAACTTTATGAATCCACAGCGGGGAAACTCATTTGCCACCTGGTCAGTTCATACACACAACAAACAATATGGACAGTACCATCACAAAACACAACAAGTGAATTAATAACAAACACCATTTGAGACTGAAAACAATTATTAAAATATCTGACTCCTGCTGGAACAAAGGACCTTCTAAGTCATTTAGTAGAACACCAAGGCATCACTAGTTGCTCAATGAAAGAGCTTCAGAGTCCTTTAAAAACTCTGTGCAAAGGTTCGCCTTCAAAGATCAGTTCCTTTTTTTCTTAGTTTGGCCCTCGTTCTCTTCTCAAAGGTAACCTCAAATTAGTCTGGGGTAATGCCAATCACAGAGTCAGCCTTTTTAATCAGCTTATTGATCCTATTTCTCATCATCCACAGTTTTATTATTTATTATAGTGACATTTTATTGTATGTACCTCTATATATTATATATCGGTCAGCAAATTGGCCATTCCCACACTGCCTTTAAAATCCTGCAATTGGGATTTATAAGAGAATTATTACAATATATTCAGATTAATGTTTTTAGTTTGATCAGTTTGATACATGTAACTGTTTACTCGGCACTGACCTGAAGCCAAATGAAAATGAAGCGACCTCTTATGAAGACTTAACCCATTCTGCATCAAGTCAAAGCCTTCTACTTAAAAATCCTGACTTTTATTGACAAACATTACCAGGAAAACAAGAAAGTCTGATTGACTAGCTGCAGTCCTAAGAATGCAAAGTCAGAGTGCAGTGTGCCAGAGGAAGACTGCAGGGATCTCTCATATGTGGATTCATTTTAGTTTAAAGGAGAAAAAAAGTAAATCATAGCCATATATCTCCTAAATCATTTGGGCTTTTTACTTTTTTCTCCCTGCCGTTTCCACCTTGTAGATTGAACAGTGGATAATCCTGACAAACCCCCCTCAGCGACCACCACTGAAGAGATGTTGAAAAGGCCAAGCCAAGCAGAGCTTATACCTCCTGCTGTGAAGCATGTAGTGCAGTCTACCATGGCACAGTGTGCGGGTCACTATCTCACTGCAGATCTGTGTTCTTTCTGTGTGTGCGCGAATCTACTTTCACACACACACGCTGTGTTTGATGCAGGATAATACGCCTCTGATGAACCTGCATTTGACCCAATCACACAAGAATGATGTCCGGGATTTATTTACCATAGACATTAGAACAATTGTTTGTCCATGCATTTCTATGCTAACCTGAGGATACCAGAACATGTGAGGGTTGGTCTTAAATGGAATGAATTTGTGTGTCAGCATGTTAGAGATAGTGGAAAGAAGAGAGCTCCTGATCTCTTAGAAGATGGTCAGCAGCTCATTAGTAGCATCAGTGTTTTAAAAAGATACATTTTGGCTTCATTTGCAGACTAATCATTCCTGTTTTGTGTGTTTGTCCAGAAACTCTTGGAAAGGTTCTTTACCAGCCTGCATAGCAGCATCCTGTTCTAACATAGCAGGAATTCCTCCTCTCTTCTTACATCTTCCCCTCACATTTCCTTTCTATTTGACAAAGCCATAGTTGCTTCTATACTTTCCGTTTTTTGGCACTTAAAAAAAAGAAATTCTGTCATTTGAATATTAAGACTGTCAAAGAAGAGGCTCTGGAAACGTTATAGCTTACCCTTAAGAGAGAATCAGAAATAAGCCTGATTCAAAGCATTTTCAATTATTTTAATAATTTCAAAATAAGAGTAGCAGGGAAATGGGAAAATATGTTTTAAGGCTACAGTGCCACACACTAAAAACTTAAAAGCAAAACCTTAGTCAAAAAAGACCAATCTTCATTTTCAGTCATCTTCATCCAAGTTTTTTTTTTTTTTATTAACAAGTTATTAAAATACAGAAAAGTAATCTTTTGTTCATGTCATGTGCACCCTCTAGGCGATCAAGGCCATCAGACTCTGAAGAACACCATGCTGAGTCTCCTCTCCTGGAGCCGTTCCTCCACGAGCTCCCCCACAAAGAGGAAGACGAGGGGCGTCCCCTGGAGGACGATCTGTTACCACACATGCTCCTGCCTGCTGACAGCCTGGAGCTGCTGGAGAAAGCGGAGAGGAAGATGCTGAAGAAAAAGAGGAGGAACAAGCAGAAGAAACAGCGGCACCGGCATTTTAACGACCTCTGGGTTCGAATAGAGGAGAGGTAAGAAAACGGGGCGTGGGGGAGGAACATGGCAGTGGGGTTTTGTTTCATCTGTCATGACTTGTCTGTGAGAACAGGGGGGGGGGGGGGGAATGTAGAAAAGGTGAGACAAAAAGGTCTAAGAGGAGAACAAAAGAAAATATCCTAATGGTTTGAGCTGAGAGAAGAAAGACGGAGAGGATGTGGAGGGGAATCAGAAAATGTGTAATGCAGCCTATCCACTTGTCTATAGAATAAAACTGACACTTCCTGCTGTGGTGCCGCAGGCTTAAACAACCAACATATCAGATCGCCTCACTTTTCCTGCAGTCTGCACAAACTTTTATGCGCAAGAAACATACACACACACACACACACATACACACACACACACACACACACACACACACACACACACACACACACTCATGGCCTGTAGTGTGGTATGAGTCCAGACTAGTTTCTAGCTGGTATGAGTATCTTGGATGTGCAAAAAGCAGCCTGGGAGTTTCTACTAAGTATCCGGTTTTGGTCTCACAGTAGCTCCAGGCAGGGACTAACCAGACAACAAAACAAGCTCAACTTTCAGACTAAAAACGAGACCTCAGCACAAGGTGTGGTCTGGTGAAGCTTCTCTTAGATTGTTGTCAAGAGGAATAAGTTTTAATGGATATGATTGTGTGCATGTGTGCAGACACCAAAAAGGTTCATTTGACCCTCCCTCCATCAGTTTTCTACACCTTCCTATCCTGTTAATCTCAGCTAACATTGACAATTCAGAGTTCACCTGACTTACACATCTTTGGGCTGTAGGAGGAAATACGAACACTTGATGGAAAGACACAGTCATAGGGAGAACATGCAACTGCTGAAGAACAAACTAGGGAGTCACCATGCCAAATCCTGACTGATTCTATGACTTTGAATTATATTTCACAGGTAATAAATGTCAAACCAAAGGATTAAAAAAAATGCACTTTACGTGAACTCAAAGTCATGGAAACAATTTTTACTATTAAAGGATCATTTTGGCAAATTCTTAAACTGTAAAGTCTTGTAGAGATGTACACATTTCAGCTGCATGATCATGATTGGTAGTGCAGGCAGCAAAGTATCCCAGTGATTATAAAATTAAGATAATGACATGCTTGCAATCTTAAAGGGGATATATTATGAAAATCCCTTTGACAGTGTTTTTGAACATATATTTGGGTAACCTGAGTGTCTACTGACCCACAAAATGTGATCCAGTCCTTTGTTTGTGGTCTGCATAAGTCCTACAACACAGAGAAAAATGCTCCGTTTTGAATTTGCTCTCATTGTGATGTCACAGTGGGATTCTGGTAAAAAAAATACCCTCCCCTCCCCTCCCCTGGTATCTCCACCCATGGACTCCACCCCCAGCCTCGAGCAAACATTTTGTACAGGTCTGCCATTTTTATACTTGCTAGCGAAGGAGTGATGTCTACCGGGAAAACTCAGGGGGGGCTCATTGCATTTAAAGAGACACACACACCAAAACGGAGCGTTCTGAGAGAGCTGGTTTATACAGGGTCACATACCTCCTCTGGTGCTTGATTCATCAGCTCACTCGGACTTTCTGCTGAAAAATACTCAGGGGCTAGCAGGAGAAACTCCGGATAAAGTTTTAAGAAACCCCCGTTACATTTACGAAATATTTGCTAAAAACAAGAGTTGCAGATAAATGATGCGTAATGGTTTTTAAAACTTGACATCTGCAGGACTCTGTTCTAACGCTTGTGGGGATTTTTTCTCATATGAACATGTTTTTTTCCATGTACAGTATACTGGTAAAAATCACTAGCGGAAAAAAAAAATCCCACCTTGTCTCATCTGTTCTTCACATGAACAGAGGTCGTTTGTGTACATTTGTGTACATTCTGTCTGCAGACATGTTTTCTTTCTTTCTGAGAGACTCTGTCTTTGAATGGAAAGGAAGCTGAGTGTTTGTGTGCACATGTTACAAAGTGTACACCGTGCACGTCTTTGTATATTTTAACTTCTATAAAGGTGGCCGAGTGGGAAAGGTAGACAGAGCAAGGAGCGACTGCAGCGCCACAGTTCTCTGTTGTGTTCCATGCATGACCACAGAGAAACATGTCACACATGGTGTCCTTACAACTCTCCTGCCCCTCAAAACATAAACAAACCTGTTTCATTAATACATAGACATCTGTATGTGGACATCCAAAACTCTGCTTCTACAAGCAATATCACTTTAAGACTAAATAAATCAATGTAAACTGCAAAGGGAAAATATCCCTTACAGCATCTAAGAATTATTATTTTAAAAATGATCTTATTTTGACTGGCAGTTAAAAAAAATTGTTACATTTTTATTGAAGCTCATTTGTCTACTACTGAATAGATGGTAGACATGTTCAGTGTTTTTAGACCATTTTAAAATATTTTAATATGTTTTGGTAGGTTCATTTAAAGTTCATTAAAAAATAAGAAATGTATGAAACATGTCTTTTTATCTCTCAATGTTTCATGTTGTTGCGGTGTTTCAAAGTACTATTGCAGCCCTAATTCAGAAGTACAGATTCTAACTTCAGGAACTTGTGTATTTGTTTAGCCTGGTCCTCGCCCGATTGGTCTAAATACAAATACCACAAGCACTACAGGCACAGCATCAAACACATGCAGAAATGATTTAATTGCCAGACTTGTTTGAAAACTGGAAAGATAAGGAGAGAAGTAATGCAGACTGAATTCATAGTATTTATGAAACGAAGAGAAGGAACAAAAAGAAGGTTTACATTTCTGCTGATGCAGAGGATAACATTGTCCTGAGGTTTTACTTTGTGTATTTTACATCATTAATATTTCTATAGTGTCCTTTATGCACCCTGCTGGACAAAAGTGAACGTTATAGTGATCAAATGTGACAAATGAGAAGCCTGAAGAACTACATGGAACTTTGTAAGGAAATAATAAAGTCTTCTCTGGACTGCTGTACCTCATGTATTCAGGAACATGTTTTATTTGAGCGTGTCAAAGTATTACGCACATCTTATTTTGACTGTCTCAACCTGTTTTTGAAAAATATCAAAGTTTACTGAGTAAAGGTCTGCAAGAAGAAAAACACTATTTTTGAAATACAATTTACAAAGGCATAGCTCTTGATTTATTTTTTCAGATCTTTGTGTTTTTCAATAATATTAAAGCTCTTATGAGAATCTTCTGATTTTCATTGATTTTCTCATCCCCTGTGGACAAAGCTTTACCTTTTATCTCGTTTTATGATCTTTTCCTGTACATGTGTCCGGGATGATTTTGAAGACAATTCTAGTTCTGCTATTTTATAATGGTCAAAATGATCACTCATTGTGAATCTTTTAGTGGAAAATTTCAACAAAAGCCACTTCTGCAGCACTATCCTCTGACACATATCCTGCAGCTGCTTGCAAAGGCATGACAAATCAGTACAGGGAAACTTTCCATCTTGCTGCTGAGGCTAGTGTCTGCTTTTTTTGGGTCATAAAGAGACGTCGTTATCAATTTGTCTTTTTCATAACAAGCTAAAATGTCCTTACATGACGTGTGAAGTTGCCATTCGTCAGTTTAAAAAAAAGGTTTAATTAACCATATTTATAAGAGGATCATGGGTTAAGGTGTCGATTATTGACAGTTGCCTGGCAGGAGGAGGGAACAAACCCACAACTGCTCTATGTTGCTTAATCTAGATTGCTGCAAGTACTTCACAGATAAGTTCCTTTCCAATGAAGACCGGCCTCCTCAGACGAATCAGGGAACAAATTAAAAAATCTCTCATGTAAATGAACAAATACTGCTCATACTTTGAGGTAATAATGAGTGTATGGGGCCCTCTTCATTTCGAGTAATCAGCGGATGTACTGAAAATCATCTCATTATTCCTTTCCTCTCTCTTCTTTCTGCACAGCACGTTGGTCCAGTCTCCACCTCCTCCGCTGGTCCGCATCATCAATGGCTACATCACAGTGCGACCCCCTGACAGAATCCAAAACCACAACAACCACCACCACACATCTTCAGCATCCACCACCTCTTCACCCTCAGCAACACTCGCCCTCCTCGGCGCCGTGTTCACAATGCAGACGTGGACTGTTTTCCTCTAGTAGAGCATAACGACGGGACCTTCTCGTCCAGTATAAACTGTCATATGCGGTGGCTTCAGCTCATGTTCTCCGAGTCCTGATCCTGCATCACAATACCTAGAAGAGGCCTCAAATAAATGGCCCACTCTGCAGAATGGAAAAGCATGGAGAAATGCTGTGAAACCAGCTCTAGCTGTAACGTAACAGGACACTCAGTCATGTCAATAGAGCACATCTTTTACAAATGGAGGACTTGATGAGCATGTTAAAGCCCTCATATGGTTTCAGTTTTTTTGCGCAAAGAAAAAACTGCAGGCAAGCGTGCACAGATAGCAGGCAGGAGGAGTGACAGCTCACAAACAGCAGTATTAAGAGACATCTCACTTAACATTACTCAGCCTGACAGTTCCCTAATGGACTAGAGTATTACAATAGACTCTCATCGTTCAATGTGAAGTAACCCTGAGAATTAAAGAACTTACATTGTGAAAGCGATTGCTAAATATCAAATACCTTCAATAAGTACAGCTGGAACCATTTGTCTTTTTTATAAGTGTGTGTGTGTGTGTGTGTTGTGTGTGTGTGTGTGTGTGTGTGTGTGTGTGTGTGTGTGTGTGTGTGACAGATTGTGTGTGTGTGTGTGTGTGTGTGTGTGTGTGTGACAGATTGTGTGTTTGTGTGTGTGTGTGAGAGAAACAAATTCTATCAGCTCTTAAACACCCCGGGGCTTTGCAAACAGAGGACTTCAGATGATTCTTCCTTTTGCAGAAGAGTATTGCATAAAGACCTACAGTGGGGTAAATTGTACATAATGTTTCTAAATATTATAGATGTATTTTAGAATTATAAAAAAAAAGGAAATTATCACAAGTGTTGTCGTTGTTTATATAAATATATAAAATAGATATGCAGTATATTTTGAAAAGAAAATCAGGAACTAACCACCATAGCTCATGCGTCATGTCTCTCACTGAAATGAAAGGTGACGTGCTGTTGTATTGAACTTCATGTATCAGTGTTACCACTTTGCTTTGCTGTATGTCACCTGAGAAACCATGTTGTGTTTTTTTTTTCACCTAGAGATTTTTGTTTTGTTTAATTTATTAAACTACAATAGTTTTGCTGTAGGCCATATCAAACATTCCCCATGTTTTTCTTATTTTTCCTTTCAGTTCACATTATGATGTCCAAATGTGTTTTTGTCAAATGTTTTCAAGTTTGATTTCCGAGCATATGATTGTTAAAACAATACTACAAAATAATAATACAGTAAGTACAAAAGGCTGTCTTCACAGATAGACAACATACAGCATAGGACGTTAGGTCTTTTACATTTCCCCGGTATAAAATGACTGTTATAGTATTTCAATGAAACAATAAAATATTTATCTAGATATGAATCGTATTGTTTGGCTGTAAAGTAAATTCATTTGAATCTTCTCTTCAGACTTAATTTCTGTCCGTTGGCATCTGTTGTTGTTCACCATGATACATTCTTAATGATATGGGGCTTGTCAAAGTGTATTAAAATACTAAACACAGAAAAAAAAAATGAGCTACTATTATTTAAAAATGAAACGAGACTTGCCACTGTAACTTTGCTAAATGTTGCTTAGTGCTCATGGTGGATTAATGTTGGGTCTTTGTAGATTGTAAATCAATGAGTTAGGTATTTTACCTGCTTTTCAGCAAAATGGGGCGATGAGGGTCAGTTGGTAGAGTGGGTCAATACTCAACCTAAAGGTCCGGTCTGATCCTGGGATCCTGGATCCACGTGTCTGACGTTTCCTTAGGCAAGAACTCCAAATTTATCAGCGTCATATGAATGTGTATGAATGGGATTAGTTACTTCTGATGGTCACTTTACATATCATCCTCTGCTATCAGTGTGTGAATGAGTAGGTGTGACCTGCGGTGTAAAAAGCGCTTTGAGTAGTCAGAAGACTAGAAAAGTGCTATACAAGCTCATGTCCATTTTTATGATATAACAACGAGTAAGGTCTTTTACCTGCCTTTTGTAAAGTGTCTTGAGACATTATTTGTTATGAATTGGTACTATACACATAAAGATGCATTGATTGATTGAATAAACAACAAACAAGTGTACCTGACATTTTAGTGCCTTAATGCTCTGTTCTGTTTTTTTTGTTCCAAAATCTTGATCTATGATTGGCTATTGGCCTCATCAGAGGCAGGTCTTAGTCTAAAAAATCCACTATTCGGGCTGTTTCTTGGAGGCTGCTTGTTGCTTTCCTTGCATTTTAATGTAACACCTTTCTACATAACTTTTCAAAGTCAATCAATTTTTATGCAGGAATGTAATATATTTTACATACTTCAATGTAATAGGTTAATATAGACATTATTAGTAAAGATAGACAGGGTAAATAATGCTTCTTATCTCCACATAAAAAGAACCCTGTTTAATTCAGTGCCCCAATTTGGCCACCTGTGTTAAGAAAGTCTTTGTGCCGTTAATGCTTGATGATACATAAAGGTAACCAGCAACATCAGCCCTTAGAGTTGCCTATAAGCACCTCAATGAAAACTTCTGTGGTTTTACATCAAAGTTAAAAAAAAAACATTATTTAACAATACAAAACTGAGCTGTCAGATAATTTATGCAGCAGAACAACATATTACTTTAATGCAAATACTAACACAATATAGTCCCTTGTGTGGGAAAAAATAAATAAAACCTTGATATAAGAAGTATCAGTCGAGGAGCAGGATGATTCATCTCACAAGTGCATCTCACACACACACACACACACACACACACACACACACACACACACACACACACACACACACACACACACACACACACACACACACACACATTCTGCCCTCCTGTCCTGAACCTGGGTTCATAGCATGTTTATGTTGGGTTAATGTGCTGTGATAAGAATGCTATTAGAAGATGTTTGATGTGTGCATGTGGTCCACCACAAACAAGTTCTGCTGTGCTGCTGTATGTCAACCTGCGGGAAACAAACAGGAAACCAGAACTAACAGACTCTTTAGATGTTCATCAAATGAGAGTTAATTGATTTGTTGTATCCACAGGAGAAGAAAGCTAATAGACTTGTTAGTTCGTGCTTTGATTTAGGCGTTCTAGAGAGGTTTGGTAGGTCTAAATATAGCTGATATGCACGAGCTGAGTTGAGACAGGAAACACATGATTTACTGCTTTAAATGAGTCGTGAGGTATGATTCGAGATGTGACTCAGTATTCTCTGTCTGATTTATTTGATTTTATGTAAAATGAACCCTGCTGAACAAAACTGTTGATAAACTGTTGAAGTCAATAGTTGCCTGCAGTGCAGGAAATTAACTTGATGGAAGGAAATCATGGGACTGAAGTGAAATCAATAACACAGTAGATGTTGACTCAAAAAAGCTTTGATTTACTCCGATCAGTAAATTATTACTTTGACTCCAAATAGAGTCTTGTGTGTTTTTTACCTTTTGTTTCCATTACTATGTTCAAGGTTAGTTTTAGGAAACAATGCAATAAATGATTCACCAAACTAACAGGCTAATCTTTTTTTTTTTTTTTTAGGTTTAACGTACATAACGGTTTCATCACAACATGGAACTTATCTTATGAGCTTTTAGCTTATAATATTTTTTATTCATCTCAATCCGCTCAATCCGCCCAAATATGAAATAATCATGCTCCTGACAGAGCTCTGCCTCGTTAAACACAATCAAACATGAAAATAGGTCTTATAAAAACACACCACACAGGGCTGGAGGTTGGGTTGCCAGATTGGACAAAGTAAACCTTTAGGAATTGAAAGCAGATGTCCATGCAGACGTCTGTTTCCTGTGGAGCACAAAACTTGTGAAAAATAAAGACACAACATTGAAAATCTGAAGTAGTTGGAACTCTGGAAAAACTTGGGTCGGTGCTTGCCGAGAGAGCTAAAGTCCTCATTAAATATGTCAGCGTACTTTGGGATCAAATGGGAAAATCCCACCTTATAATACCTAACTGTGGATTTTAGAATGACTGATTTAGTTTTCCTTCATTTCCACTCCAAAAACAGACGCCACAATAAATACATTTTCCCCTTCAAAGCATTTCTATAATGTTTTTTTTTTTACTTCTCTTATTGAAAGCAGATGGGTACTTTTTAAAATTTCTCCAATTTCAACCAATCAAATGACACATTCTTCCCCCCAGTTCAGTGCTCTGATATGTGCAGCCAGTTTCACTTGAAGACACAAGGTCAAAACAGTTTCCCATTGTTCATAAAAGCTCATCATCTGTTTGTTTATCTGACATCGTACTGACCAATGTCTCACAGTCTACAAAAATAAGCTCATGTGTGCAGAGTAAGTCTCACTGACGCTGTTATTACTGCATCAGTCTATTAGTCAGGGTGTTAACTGAAATGCATGGTAATAGGTGCTGTGATGACTGAGTATTTACATAGTAAATCACCATGGGGTTACATGTTGGGTTATCTTTTAGAGTTGAGGTTATGTGTAATATGGTGTCAGTGCAGGATAGAGGTTTTACTGATGAGAACAACAGGACTTTGTGATGAAAACACTGTTTTCCTAGATTGACTGGCATTTTAATGGAGGGAGCATCACCAGCAATTCCTCTCTCAATTAAATTTAGGTTTTAATTATAGAATGAAAAAAAGGCCATATTAACATCCTTGAGCAGCCTTTTCCAAATGTAAGACTGATGCGGCCCTGAAACGAAAACAACAAAATTCCATCCCTTTGTAGCCGACGTTAAATATTGGAATTCACAACATGATATCATGGCATGACAGACAAATACGAAAGAAATTACAATGAGATATTAAAATTAAAATTTGTCTATAGTGATAAAATACCTTACCAAATACATTTAGGGTCAAGCCATGTATAAATCATCATTATTGTGATATATACATATATTATTTTTTCCCTGCTTGGTGGTGATCCCTTCAAAGCCCACATCCATACCTGCAGCCCACACTTTGGGGAGCACTGTTTTAGAAATATTTTTGTATTGTACTGTTTTTGTACAGCAAAATAAAATAAAAAAAATTAGAAGGTGAAAATAATTGGGCCAAGCACAAAACCTTGTGGAACTCCTTGACTGACTTTGGCATGCATAGATGACTTCGTCGCTTTGGATAAAAGCGTCTGCTAAGTGAATTGTAGAATTGTAGAATGACTTATCATCAACGTTTGCTTACTGATATTGATCTGATGAATTGGGATTAGAACCAATTTACTGCGGTTCATTCAAGATCAATTAGGTGTTGTAGTTTCTGTAACAGGGTGGTTAATTAAGTCAAATGCAACACTAAGATCTAACATGACAAACACAGAGAGGAGTCGTCTGTCCAAAGTAATTAGAATAAGTTTTGTTAATTACACCAGTGCTGTCTCACAGTGGACTAAAAATCCTAAATGTATCTGTGATAAGTCACAAAACTCTTGTCACAGCAGGAAAAGCACACATGTAATAAATGATGACAAAAATCTAAAAATCTACATAATGGCATAAAGTATGAAACATTATTTCATTAGTATTTTAGTAAAAATGGCAAATTTTGATCCTTGCATATCACTTCCTTTGGATATATATGTGTATGATCTGTATTTGTCAGAAGTCTCTTTTGTATCAAGTTAACAAAAATCTTCAGGCCAAATCAAAACAACCACTCAAGGTTCAATCACAGAGAGAGGAGAATGTTTGCGTTGCAGCAAGGTTGCAGTCTGTTGTAATATTCATGTTGCACACGGCCACTTTAGGTTTCAGGGTCTTATTGTGCATGTTGGCTTATTGTCACACTGTCACACTGTCTTACTGGGACACCTGAATGGAACTGAGCCATCATTACTGCTGTCCCCAAACCCCTTTTCCCATTCAAATCTTTTGCTTATAAATGATTGGGTAGGTTTGTTGAAATGTTTGATTCACTACCAACAGTTGCAATGCTTATTGAGCTTTCCCCACTAATAAAGACAGATATATGATTTTTTGATTACAGTGTAAGTTCAAATGTACTTTTTCCCTCAACAAAGTCTAAGGGTAACATGTCTTCCCTCTATGCTCACAGAAATAACAAAATAGTTGTGTAATCCTGTCAAATTTTCATCTCAGTAGAATTTCAAGAGCCAAACATTGTTCATGTCTTCCCAAGCCTCACACGGATTGTCTGCCTGTGATTGTCAGCTTATAAACAAATGAACCATTTGAGTGTTGGCACTACACCACAGGGGTGTCACTCAGTCACAGCCTGGTTCAATGCATCCCATTCACAGGGAGGATTTTTTGGGGGGGTGTGTTATTGATAGAAGGAAGCCCACACTGGGAGCTAGAAACCTGGAGTCATAACACACATGCACACTACACGTTAATTCACGAGACACAAGCACTCACAATCACGTCATTCCACTCATGCACACGTGTAACAGGATAACATTTACACCCAAAATACACATAGCGGACATGTTAATGCAGTCCCACTGGACACATGGAAGTTCTAAGTGGATTGGGCTGATATCAGTTTTCACCCTCAATATATTCTCCAACTTAAAGATCCCCCCTCAGAAGATCTCAGATTTATAGTCAGGAATGTGTGCTC